GTATTTTGTTCTGTTTTTAGTGCATTTTGTTTTGTTTTTAGTGTATTTTGTTTGGAAGTCGGTTTTGTTTTTTTTATTAAAAAGTTTATTTTTTTATGAATGAATGTATATTAAGACGTGAAGCATTTACCTGGAATGCAAATATGATTGTATGTCACCATCTTGTCCTTGTCCCACTATTGCAAGGTCGGCGCAATAGGTTTTGGTCTTCCAAATCGAAAACGGAATATAGCTAATTTTAGTAGTCATTCTTTTAATCATATCACCCTTCATGCAACCACGTCTCTTCCTAGGCAATTGTTTCAGTTAAATCTAAATATAAAAGTATACAATACTTAAGTACACTGCGTCAGCGTTGGCGTTGTAGATAGGATCTCATAAATCCTGAACAAAGCCACGAAGCGTCCGCCCACACGCGGCAATTAAGACATCTAACTGCGTGTTCTCAGGCCAACTACGTTTTCGTTCTGCCCATTCTTGGCGAAATACTTTTATACTTTCGCTGACATGCCAAATAATTTTAACAACATTTAGTCAACCACTTTTTCATTGTAACATTTGGAGATTGTCATGATTTTACTTAGATATTTTTATCATCCAAATCAGTACTTTATGCAGTGATTAATAATTCATGAATAATACAATTTTATTTAAAAAAAATCTTTTAACTAGATGACAATAAAACGAATCACATCTTATTTCCAACGTTTCTGTTTTCATCTCAAATCACGTTCCTCTCACGACATATTAGATTTATGTTCTAACAACGTTAAACCATTTTATAGGATCAATTCTATTTAGCCGCTATATAATTTGTGTGGATGATCGCATTGATTGTAACAGATTGCAGATTTATTGTGCGAATACGTTGTGATTTCGCTTAGAATAACAGCATTGTAACACGAATCATGTCTACTGGCCATTCGTTGTCGTTTAGAAGGTGTCAGCGTACGTATCCCGGTTGGTGTCGCACGCCGCTAGATGGCGCTCTCACGTGCTCACGTCCACCGGCAAACACGCCGCTCGCTGTCAACCGCTGTTTGCAGTATACGCTGCGGTCAGGGCTTTACTCTGCACTAAATATATTTCCTCTTTGGTGAGATAATATTATTTTTCAATTTCAACACAAGTTTTTAAAATCAGATTATGAAAGGAATTTAAAAATACACGACTCAAGATTAAGCATTATTGGCATTCAACATTATATTGGGCCCTGATATATTTAGGTTGACTTAATCAAGACAAGCTATTCACTATCTGATTACTTGGAACTGTACTTTTTTCTGATAATGGTTTGTTACAAGCACGGCTGGTGGCTTTGTGGAGTCGCATTGGGTCTGCTGTGGTGCGTACTGCTCACTCCTTTGAGCGTCAATCTCTGGCGAACGTATGATCGGAGAATGAACACTCAGAACTTTATAACTCTATCTAACTTTAATGCAGCGTAAGTGTAACAATCATACTTAATAATATAAATGCCTAAATTTAAATGGATGGATGTTTGTTAGACTTTGTAGCCTAAACGGCTGAACGAATTTCCATGAAATTTGATATAGATGTAGAGATTAGCCTGGAAGAATGCATTGGCTACTCACTTTTGTTTTCTTTAACTTCACGCGTACGGAGTCGCGGACGAAATATAGTATTACATAATTATCTAAAGATTCAATAGGTTGCTTTTTTTATATTAAAGTAAAAATAAAGCATACTGTACCTAAGTGTAGAAATAGTTACGATGCAAAATAACATTGATACTCAATTTGCTTCTTTTTTTAGACCTCAAGGGACTCCAGAGACGGAACCATGTGAAAACGGCAACTGGACAACACCTGGGTCAGTTGCTGGTTACTTTTTAATAGTTCATAGTTCATCATCAATGTTTCTTTCAAGAAACAGATTAATGGCAAAATAATCGTCAATGATTCACAAATATAATTAATGCAGATTTTAAGACAAAAAAGAAACAATCTATTGCTGTTTGATATTATAATAGCTGTAGTTCGAACATCCTATTATTGAGCACTGTACCATAAAGCCATAAAAATACGTTCATGGTGAATTTAAAAATATTTTTCCCTCGATGTTATTTTAAAAACTGTAAAACAAAACAATAGCGTTTGAGTCACGGAGTTACTGCGTTGGGATAGTAGAACGTGGGGTAAGGAACATTGAAAAGCCATAACAATGTTCGTTTAGCATTTAAAAAGAAAATGTATTTCCTTCAAGAAGTTTTTTATGAAAAAAGCATACTGCTAAGTTAACTTTTAATAAAATTACATTTCAGTTAATTCATTCGCTACTTGAAGAAAGTTTTTTAGTATTAAAGACATGAAATCCGCTACAGACGGTTATTTCTAACTGACAGTTTTAACTACACAAGTTGGACTCTTCGTGCATGTTTAGACAAAATTGTTATTGTCAGTAAACTGTACAGTTATTTGGTTTACATAGTCTAACCGACTTTGGCGATTCAAACCTAAATCTTATCAATGCTTTTTCATTCGCAGCCCACCCCCACCCCCTAGGGACGATAACTGGTGATCTACAAAACAATGCTGTGAGAAACCGTTTGAAATACATCTAAGTACCACCAAGAAGATAACCAGCGCGTGGTGCCTGAAAGCACAAAGTATTTTGCTAAGCTTGATATCCAAGATAAGTAACTATGGAGTGTGCTTATCGTTACTTAACTAGTAAGATTATCGTAGTTAAAGGATAAAGTAAATATTTTAAAATTTTTCGAGAAAGTAACTTATTATAAGTTGTTAATGAAAGTAATTTTTAATATTTTGCTTCTAATTATTTTTTTACTTTGTATGTATTAGAATTATTTTAAAGTTTGTAATCGTATTAATACTTTTTATTATAAGATAAAATTTAATTAATCATACAAATTGTTACAATTATATTCGGCGATAAATGTTTTCTTTTTATTTCTCCTATACGTTAGTCAATTAAAAAGTTTTATTTAGAAGAATCTATAGACAAATCTGGTCGTGATAGGATAGATAGAAAGTCACTTAATATAATGTCGAGTAAACAATCTCATAGTTTATCTCAATTGTTTATCTTGCTAGCCTCGGTTGTTGTAGACCGACTAGAACTGAAAATAATGCGTCCATCAGTTATGTATATTATCCAACCTTTTTAGACATCTTGTCAAAAATACGAACACAATAAAAATAAAATGATAAAACACTTTTACCCCCACCACCTGCTGTCGCAGAAAAATAAGAAAAGATCAACGGAAACGGAAAACGTACAAAAAACAACGGGAGAACACCAACGCTTGGCATTTTACTGGCTTCCAGCCAAGTTCGTTTACAAGAAGCGGTATAGGTTTGGGATTCTATTTTGCTTTATGTTTACCAAAACGACTATTTTGTTTGTGATCGTGTGGCACTGCACGTTGTATAGCTAACGCAGTATAATCTTATTAGAATACTAAAGACCGACTTTGATATTAAATCCGTATATTGTTGAAGTAACACATAATATTTCGCTGGCAGAATTTAATAGATTTATCAGAAGCAAAATAACAGATTAAAACGGTTTATATATACATTGGTTATTTCTGAAACAAAAGGACAAAATTATTCATGTAATTTAATAGGAATTGAAAGAAATCGGCAATGGAAATCCGCCCTAAGATTACATTCGATTACATCATTTTATCGGAAAGTAAAAGATAAATTACTAAACGATTATGATGTGATATAAATCCTACAACGTATAATATAAACCCTTGCCATATTGCGGAGTATGACACTAATTTCTTTGCGCACGTTATAGGTATAAAAAAGTCGATTGATTGATCGCAGGTCATGTTAATATTCTTGGTTAGTAATACAAGGATGTGAAATGCCATTCAGTTAACTAACGTTGCATTGTTCTACCCTATATGCATTTATTTATTGACATGCCTTATTAAAGAAAAGTCAAGCTGACACTTATCACTTGATAACAATTACGTTGGTATTTCAATTATTTATTAAGTATTCACTGACCCATTATTCATTGACCCATACAGTAACATGATATCACTGACCTTTTAACAGACAAGCAACCTTTTGATGGAAATTCAAGGTTTCAACATTTAGGCCAAAAACAATTTACTCACCCCATTCGGATAAATTTTAATGACTCTGGCTCATTTTTCAAATTATACTTGTGGGATGGATATCTTAGTAAAAATGTTGAATATAAAATAATAAATTTTAATAATTACAAAGTTAGCATTCGCAATTTTTTTTAATAACATCGATTTGTCATACGCAATTTTTTTTGTCTATTAACATACGTGATTTGTTGAGTTTGTTAATTTTAAAGATAAGATAATATAAAATCTCTTTCTTCATAAACATCAGTTTTAATATGAGTTAAAACTTACTTTACGTAATAACGGAAGCTACTAGTAAATTGAATTTAATTTACCGGTGACCTTATTGTAAAGATAATTCCTCTGAATAAAATAACGCTTATGAATATAGTAAATTGCTTTAATGATAGTGGTACTCAAAGTAAACTTAAGTACTGTATGGAATAAAGTGTTCTCTCGGGTTATAAAATCAGTCCAGCGGCTGTTATTTAAAAGAATGGTGCCGTATTTGAATAATTGGTAAATGGTGCCGATTGAAATAATCATACAAAATCGCGAACTGCATGTTATTGACGTCTTGCTTTGAAATGTATGAAAAAACAGAGATGAAAATATGCTTATGTACGGATGTTAAGACAATAGAAACAGTGTCCGGTGAATAAATGCTTAAAACGCTTAAAGAACCAATTTAAATATAAATTATTTGGAATCCCTTCTGAATAAGAACCAACAAATTATTCTAATCTATCCATCTAGAGATAAGTTAAATCCGGTCTTCGTTCTTATTTATTTTAAGTTAAATAAAATACAAAGGAACCCTAAAATTAGATTAAAGTGTACATAAAAAAGAAAAAAAATATCAATGATAGTGTAGTAAGGCAGTGAGTGCAGACAAGTAGCATTACGCAATGAGATGTAACGAGCCATCGGCTCACTGTTGACCGGTTAACATTTCGCGCGGCCTTCGAACAACATAATAAGTTGCGACACCTTGGAATAGATCTGAATCAGCTCATTGTGAGCGAGCTATACCGCTGCGGGCCGCGGGCTCCAGACGCAATGCTTTCATACGCCCGACAGCTCACTGAAAAATTAATATCACCGTCGCATTTCAAAGACTTCTTACAGGCATATTCGAAATGGGATTCTCACCGACCTCGAATTTCAATATTGTAAAGAATATTTTTAATTTAATTAATAATCTCATCACTGCTTCAGAAAGCTGTTATCCACAGAATATATAAAAGCATGCCAAAATTCTCTTGTTTGATGTATTCATTATGTTTGATTTTCAAGCAACTAAATTGTATGTCCTAATTACTCGCTGTAATTTAAGCCTCTTCCATAAATGACGCAATGTAAACCGTTGCAGTTAAACGGTGGATGACATTAATCCTTAAACCAGATACGTCCACATTAAACCATTACACACATAAAAGGTCAATTTAACGGACGACAAACATTTAAAAGTTCAAATTCTTTCGCAATTTACATACATATGAGGTTAATTATATAATCAGTTTAATGGTAAACAATCGAAATAGTTCACCTTGATCTGAATCTTTTATGTACTAGAAGCAATTCGCGCCCACAGTACGTTAGGTTCATACGTGCTATATTGAAGGCCTAATAAAATGCATATCCCTTTAGTATACACACAAATAACACATCCACGTTATAGTCCATTCGAAAATTTCATATTTTTAATGCATTTTTAACATTTAACCTATACGTTAACTAGATTAATCAAGACAGTAATTAAAAAGGCTAAATTTCTTTGGATAGTTACAAAAGAGCCATATACATATAATTCCTCACACCTTCAGCTTTAACTATGGAGTTAAAATAGTACCTGTATAGACAAAATTTTAACTCTACAGTGTAACTGACCTGTGCAGTTTTACAGATGAAAATAAATATACTACTATTATTTTAAGCAGACTTTAAGCAATTATTAACATATTCAAATACTTTTACAAACAAAATACTTCCGAAAAATTAGTATTATTAAAAGTGAAAACTAAAACCAGTTATAACAGATGATACATGTATCGGTCGATGACCGGTATTCAATATAAACGTAATTATATAATCAAGATGAGTAAAACTCACCTTGAACTAATGCTCTAATGACCTGTTCGACAAACCCACGCGGACAAAGGAGTCGGTTAATAGCCTCATCTCTTGATGCATTTGGACGGATGTGTTTAAAATTTGATGCGGCATTTTACAACGTACTTTTCTCTAAAGTATGTATACATCTTGGAATCCTGTTAATTGAAATTCATCCCATATTCTTAAACCTCATGACACAGTATAGTATATAACTGTAGTAGAAATACAACAGAATTTAATTTACCTTAAGGTTTAAAAACCAGCAGTATCACAAAATTTAATTCTTACAGTATCACTTCTTAGTTATATTCGTTAACTAGCCTTTTGAACATAGTTAAGCTATATCTAACTTATAAATTTTTGTTTACTTTTTTTCATCGAAATCCTTACCTTAGTTTTAACGAAAAACGGCAGTGTTATAAAAACTACCGTTTCCTTTTCGCACATCTCTGGCCACATTATATTGCAGACATAAAACCGAAAGGAGATGAGTAGATCTCGTCTTGATATTAACGTCGTGTCAATGACCCTAAAAGCTGAGAGGTCAGGTGGCTCACATCTTTTAGTTGAATTACATTACCGTTTGTGAATGAAGTAACATTTATTTTACCGATCACAAACGTATAATGTTCATTGAACTTAGAATGTCTCACATTTGTGTTTGTAACATAATGCAGTAAAGTTCAATACGGTAGGGTTTAAATTAGTTAATAAAATTTGGAATGCACGCATTGTGATAAATTTATATGGGCTGTACACGTAATGTGTGGCTTGGATCAGAAAGTTAAAATAGAATTGAGTTTAGACACTTAATAGAGACCTTTGGTATTAAATTTGACTCTGATAAAATGATGCCTTAAGCTTCCTATATTATACACATACTCTTCTTTAAACAATAAGCGTTAATAATACTTATTAACGGTACTTAGAGCATGAAGCTATTATCATAGTCAGCTGTTAGAACAAAAAGGATCCCTCACACTTCATTAGAACACATTGTACAACGTAAATGTTTCATAATGTTACATTTCGATTCGCTATCCCCATCAATTGTACAGTGGTCGCTTGGCCAACACACAGACGGGTTTATGTGACCTTTCACAGACTCTAGTCGTGGCGATCTAGATTAAATAGATAAAGCATGTGTCTGGGCCCGAACGGCCATGCCCAAACCTTACGAAATCTAAATGGAAGTGCGTGGTACTTTGTTGGCGTGAAGTAATAATAGATAGAACAGTTTAGATAGCTTCAAATGTAAACCTATCTTTTATTACCCTAGAAAAAATACGGTCATGTAAATGGCTAAAAATAAATCCTGGCTGCGTTTAGCTACTGTAGTGGCTTTCTAAAATAACTTTTCTTCTCTAAATCGTCTCTTGTTTTTTCATTTTAGGCATATTTAGTGGCCAGTTTTCCCTTCAGATATGCAGTGCACACATGCACGCCAATACTTGGAGACTGTTTTGTATCCTATGTAACTACAGGACTTGACCAACAACCGGACTCAAGAAAAAAACGACTACTACAA